AAAATTATAAAACTGATATTAAAAGCTTCAGTAATGTATTCCAGTGCGGTTGAGATCCTTTTGCCTCTCACCAGAATAAAAACAAAAAGGAAGATATATCACCACCTACCTACTGTTGCTTGGTTTATTTTGTAGCTACATACCAATATGCAACTAAAACCAATATGTTATCATATCACTCATGCATAAATTTTGAAAAAATTACGATAAAGAACTATGAAACCTAATTCGGGTTCTGTCAAAAGTGATTGACATATAGAAACTAATTGATAATAAAATGATTCGTTAGTCATGCCAACAAGAAATGCAATAATGCTTCTCCCAAAAGAAAATAAGTTAAAACAGACAGTGGCATACCATATTTTGCAGCTAAACCCCAATAACGAGCAAGCCAACACCTCTTTAGAACAACTTCTTCCTGAAGAGAAAATAATTATGTATAACAAGTTTTCAAAATAACTAACAACTAACAATGGACTCCTGGTACTGTAGAAGTATATACCATTTCTTTCTGAGTTAATATCATTCTTTGAGTCATTGATCGGAGAGCTTTTACTTCAGATTCAGCTCCATTTAGCTGTCTCACTGCAGTCTCAGTTTCAACTTTTGCATTCTATTTCAGAAGAAATAATTAAACATATATGGCAGCCTGTCTTGAGAATATTAAAAAAATGGCATATTCACCTCAATTTCAGCTTGTAGAGATGTGATTTCCTTATCAACTCCATCCTTTGAGTCTTTGGCATTCTTAAGAGCAGCCTGTGAATTAAAAATCTGTGTTGAAGGCATTTTTGACAAGGGAATTGAGCAAGAAATGGAACATTCAACTATTTTGCTATCTCAACTCCCCAAATGGTATAAATTAACTCCGTTCCGAGTTTGTACACCATGCATCTCAACAGTTCAAGTCATCACCATCACATTACCTCTCTTTGTCGCAAAGCTGCTTCCTTTCTGCAATTCAGTAATTTGGGGGTGTCATACACAATACTAAGCGAGGGAAAACCCATTTGCAACAGTTTTTATTCTAATTTACACACCTGCTCAAGAGTTTGGCTTCCAAAGATACACCTTCTCCAAGGGAAGCAACCTAAAAAGTAAGATAAAAAATTAAAAACTGCACATGCACACTTGAAAGAATTTCATTGACACATACACTCATATATAAACATAAATATCTAAGTCAAGCAATAAAATTTCAAAACTAAAAAAGGAGAAGTTCCATTAACTAGAGAAAAACTCTTCAAATATGATTAGTATTTAACTTTTTGGTTATCTAAGGTATGATGGGATGGGATCCAATCTCCTATCTTAATGTTAAAGGCAGTGACCATTGGGCCAAAGGCCACATTATTGCATCATAGCATAGTACGCCAACTGGAGCCGAACCAGGTGAAAGTGATGTGAATTATGCTCAACAATAGACGGAATCTCAAATCAAGAGCAAGAGGAAAATATTATTAATCACATACAGTGCAATAAACAAGTATAAATTAGGCACTCTATGTAGAAACTACAGTACTGTATACTAAAAAATAAATAAAGCCAGCACCTGCTTCTCAAGCTCTCTAACCCTGGCCACCGATTCCTTGCATCTCTCTTCTTCGATTCTTAGCTGCATTGTAGAAACACTTGGGTATTTATGAATGATGTGAGTTCATTCACAACAGGTAGAAAACAAAGTAGACCGTAGTACCTTGTCTAGAATACTTTCATTCTCTTCCTGCAGCATATCAACCTGCAGAAAGAGCAGAGATTTGTTTAAGTGAATTTATAAGGGTATGGTCCTCAGTTATTAACACGTTAGATTCTGTTTTATAGAAAGTTAGAAACATGGAAACCAGATTTGGAGACCTCATCACGAAGTACAGAAGCCTCACGCTGATCTCCTGAATCCTTTGGTTGAACAAGTCCAGTATCAAACGGAAATCTGTAAATTTTCCATTAAACTTAATACATAAACGGTAATGAAGTCCGGAATTATAATTGCATTTTAGGGGGTGGGCAGGCACGCAATATTATACACGTACACGTACACATACAAATAAAATGAAGCAGCAATATGGAAAAGCAATTTAGGAAGGGGTACGCATTTTATGGATCTATTAATTATAAGATAAGATAGCAAGTAAAGGTGCAGAAAATGTGAAGGGAATGAAATTTACCTTTTATCTTTGGGTTTGTTATTATGAATGGGAGGGTCTAAAGGCAGAACCGGAGCTGGAGTCCTGAGGCTTAGAGGAGGTCTATTGGTAGCCGGTGGAGCTGGTGCTGGTGCTGGGCGAAGATACACTGATTCTTCTGGGAGGGTTCGAGGTACCTAATTAAGTTAGCAGGTGAATGAGGAAAGGGAGTTAGTTAATTATGGATAGGATAGGATAAATGTGGAGAGGAAGCGGAAGAATCGGACCGCGGCAGGAGATGGCGATCTAAGAGTGGAAGCGGACTTAGCAGAGTTCCTGGAAAGAGAGAGAGGTGGGGGAGCAGTGTAGCGAAAACCTAGATCGTCCTCGTCCTCGTCGTCATCGTCAGCAGTCTGAGAAGCCATGACCTGAGCGAGGCGCTGAGCTGCGGCTTTGGCAGCAACATTCTGAGTCCTTTTGACGGTTGAAATTCCAGTTGCAGTGAGGGTGAGGGAGGAAGAACGAGAATGACCGTTACGTGAATGTGAGTGTGATGGTGACGACATCACATTCCCAGATTCGCTGCTCCACTTCCGCTCCATCACTCTTTTCCTTTTCCGTTTCCGCTTTGCAAATTAAATAAATATCTGTTTACTTCTTGTTTGTCTGTCAGTACATGTACCAGTAGTGCTTCACTGTCAATGGTCATCTCTCTCTCTCTCGCTATTTTGACCCAGCCTTGGACAGACACACCTTTTACTTTTTCTCTTTTAAGTTCACTGTCAATTTATAACCAATAAATTTTCTATAATTTATATTTACATTTGATTTTGACAAATTATTTCTTAATTTTTTTAGTTATTATAATATTACCCTTTTATTGTTAAAATTCAAATTTATACGATAAAAAAGTTAAAAACCCTTAAAATTATGTGCATAATAAATTAAAATGAACATATTGTAATTATATATATATATATATATATATATATATAATTATTTAACATCTCATTTATATACATCGAAGTAATAGAAATATATATTTAATAATATAGTAAAATAAACAATCCTTATTACAACTTTCCAAATTTGAGTTGTTTAAGAAACTATCATTTATTATAAGTTTTTTACAAATTTCTTATCCATAAAAATATTATTTTAATTTAAATGTAGATTATATATATATATATATATATATATATATATATATAAGTAAGTTTATTTAACTATAAGAAAGCTATATTTATAATGTTAAAAAGAGTTACTTATGTTAATAAGTTTATTTATTTTTTATTTGTAAAATTACTCTAATTAGATTTTACAGCCAATTGCTATGTTTAGACTTTTTGAAGTGAGTAGTTTTATCAATTAATGAGATACTTATTGGTTGATATATATATTCTTTAGGTTTTCTTATAGAAAATAATACTCTCTCTAGACCCATATGTAGACAAATTTAACTAATGTTACACCTATTAAGAATGATAATTAGGGTTATTTTAATATTTTTAATTTCATGCAATATATAAATATATTTGATAAATTACCCATTGATCATATTGTAGACGGTCCCTAAAATTAAATACGAAGATATTTTCAAAAGAACAATATTAAATAGAAGTTGGGAGTAAACAATTCTTTATATTTAAGATCAATGAACATGACTTTTTTTTCTTATAAATAATACAGAGGGAATACCAAGTTAAAATAAATAATATTAAAAAAAACATATTTAATAATCCATCTAATATTTAATAAAAAAATTGAAAATATTAAAAGACATTTAATAATTTCCTCATTTAGTAATTACGAAGATTAAGTTAGTGTTAAAGTAAGATTTAGAATGACTTTTCACTCCAAAGTGAACTTTCTCACTTTAAGAAGCTAAAATGTTTCGCTTACATGCAAAATTCGACATCTCAATACATGGGCATTTACTTCACTAACAATAATAACGACATATAAAAGAATTATAAAAGGAATATTTACATATTTGCAACTGTATTAAACTATGAGGAACAAAACTTGACCCTTTAGGATATTGAATAGAGCATATCTTCTTAAAAGCAGTTTAGATACCTGGGCCATTGGATATTATTCATATAAGAATGAACGTCCCTGAAAACAAAAATTAAACTGTGCTAAAACAAGTTTTTCTTATAGGATTATTGGTACTACGAACATACGAGGCAATTTTGGGTTATACGTAAAAACATACCAAGCCAGCTTCTACAAGTGGAGATGAAATAGAATCCGTCATGTTCCATTCTAATATTTTTAATTTTAAGAAGCGTAGTGCCAAGAACAATGATTAAGGAACATCTACTTCATCCTGGTAAAGGCCTATAAATACTTAAAAAATCAAGTATTAAAATGTTATTGCGTTTTCAAATTTCAATATAACATGTTTTTCAGTTAATTAAATATTTCTAATTTTGCTTCCTTAATGACATATCCTAAAGGTGCTCGTTAGCATTTGCTTTTAAGAAATCCAAAATGCAGAACTAAAGGCACTTCTTTTCAATCCTCTCTACCAATTCAAACATAGCTTAAAGAGCCTCTGTTGTACTTCAAATATATTCAATGCCAATGCCCATTTCTATTACGTATATAGAGGTGTCTAATGAAAGAACATAATAAACAAAATGTTCTCCCCCATTCCTACAGGGCTTTCCAAGAACTTAGTATTATGGGATTGAGTGATAACCTAGTGTCCATTTTTTTTCTCTTGAAACTGGGTCATGAGAAGAAGGCTTTTTCTATTTATACATGAAACTTCAATTACATTTAATAATTTATTACAAATACAGAATTAAACCATGAAAGCAAAAAAAAAAAATTAAACAAAAATATTCTATTTTAAATATTACCTCCAGATTAGACAGCCCGAGCAGCAGTCTCTGAGCCATCTGATGATGGCTGAAGAGTAGATGAAGCAATGTGCATCGGAGGAGGAGAATCAATATATTCGGATACAGATGATCTGTTAGGGTCTTCTAGAGGTCTTGACCCATCTAATGCTGCAACTTTACCACCAGTAGAAGGTATGGAGAAACTTCGAGCCATGGCTTGAGGAGGCATTGGCAATGGAGATGCTGAATTTGACGTAACTAAATTACTTCGAGCAGAGAGCTGTTGACCTCGGGACACCAATGGACCTGAATGACCCACCAAACCTATAAACTTAGAATTTGGTGGGGAAATGGTTGGAGGCCTTGGAAGTTCATGAAGCTCATTTATTTTAGGTGAAGATGAACGAGGGGGAGAAGCACTAGGAGATACTTTTGGAGATGCCGATGATGGAGGCTGAGGAATTGATGTCCGTAGAAGAGGTCCAGAAAACAATTGGACACTTTCTACAGAAACAGGCTTGGTTGGCCAAGCATTAGTTACCAATGGACCAGAAAAGGCATGTCTTTTAATCTTTTTAGAATAAGCAGTAACAAAATCATGATTTGAGGATAAATTACCATCAATTAAAGGAGGCCGCAATCTTGTGTAGGCAGTATTGCTGTTACTCTCCTTGAGCACAGACTGCGGAGGCCTAACATTAGGACCAGAAAATCCCCCATCTCCAAAAATGTTTCCATATTTCTTTTGTTCCAGTGGGGATGAATACCACTCATTCTTCATAGGCTCATATAAACTTGTCTTTATTTTAGAAGGTACTTGCTTACTCAACCTCGGAGGTATCGAACTCTTTGCATCAATTGGTGTAGGCAGAACATATGAATCGAACTTCCGTGATAAAGTTGGCCGCATCTGTCTCAGCTTTTCGCCATAATCACATTTATTATCAGCAAAAAGTGGGGCAGATTGGCTCTCTAACCTAAAATTGAAGGAGAATGAATTCCTGGGAAGCCTATCCAAGTTTCCCTGCATATATAAAACGATATGCATATTTATAAGTGTTCAAAAATTTATAAGGAAACTAAATAATCACATTTCATGTGTCAAGAAGCCTCCACTTGAGGAGTCATATATCAACCTGTGAAGTACTTTCGGTCCTAAATTCCATGAACCTAAGCATTTTGTTTTTCATATTACCTTAGCTTTTACAGTTGGACCTTTGGGAAAGGTAGGTTCCACCAGGCCCAACTTCAGAGAAGCATGCATGACTCAACATTTCAAAATGTGAGTAATTAGGCCAATGTAAGTTCTTTATAGACAAAAATTAAAACCAAAAGTATGGATCTGATCCAAAATATTAACAATCATGAGGTAGTGTACAAACTCCATAGAATTATATGCATAGACGAGAGACATTGATATTACAGGTTATATTCTGGATGTTCTTAGTTTTTAATCCACCCATCCAGCTTTCCATCAAACTGAATTGGTTGTGCACACATAAGAATATGACTATTCCACCTAGAAACTCTGATTCCAATGAATTTGGGTCCCCCAAACAACAATACACCAAATGCTTCCCCTCCATTTTGATTTTACTCGTTATTTCTTTAGCAATCTAGGATTTAAAACCAGAACTGTTAGGAATAGAGGGGAAGTATCTTTTGGGAAAAATAATCTGAACTGAGCACCATGCTTTGGTGTAAAGGGGAAACCCTTAAAGGAGAGTATTCTTCCCGAGTCTTTGGATTTCAATAACAGAAACACTTCTATCTCTTTCCCTCTCACTCTAACCTTATTCTTTGCCCCTCGATCTACCCAACTTCCCATCACCAAAACCGTTATCCATCACCAATTGTGTGCTCAAAGAATTGCCTACTCATATTGATGCTGGTTCCTGGTAGGGCTACTCAATCTTCCTAATATTCATTTCTCAATGTGATTGAATATGCAAAAGCAGTTAAAAAATATTACTAATTTTTCCAGTTTCAAAAGGTAATCACCTCCTTTGAGTTCTTTAATGTAGAAACATCTTGCTCGTTTTCATTTTGTGCATAGTCAAAACTCAGCTCCCCATCATCATTCTCATCATGGCTGTCATCGTCATCGTCTTCATCATCATCCTCTCCTCCAATAGCAATGAAGTGGTAATCAATGTGATGCTGTTCTGTTACTGATTTTACATGTGGCTCTGCTGTCTCAAGAGATTTAACTGCGTTCTTGAAGAAACACAACTGTTTTTGGGGGGATGAAGGAAGCAATGACAACGGAAAGAAACATTAAAAATGAATAACTCTCCCAGATCTGAAAAAGAATATTGGGAATAAGTGAAACCTGAGCTGCATGGTGACGTGCTGCCTGTGTTAGAAGGCTCCACGATTGCCCTTGCTTCAGAGATTTCAAGCGGAAAACAAATAATGTAGCCTCCTCATCATATTCATCACGAGCAATTTGTAACTGCTGCAAGGAAATGCTCTCTGCTTTTCCGCTTCTAGACCTACCTCTTTCTCTATATCTTGTTAACATGGACTCATATGCTACTCTGCAGATTATACACCGCAAAAAGATAAGGCACGAATCACATTCAAAGACGAAAGTATATCTGATATAACACTACAAACCTTTTTTCGTCACAATGTCGCTTCATCTCCTGCTTCAGCGTGAAGGAAAAAATATAATAAGTAACAATAATAATAAAAGATTATTCGCAAAAAGGATAGAGAAAGATATGGTAAATTTAGCAAACACAGTAGGAATCCTGTTGGGATATAAGGTTCGTTTGGTGGTGAAGATTGACGGGAGGCGATCCGAGGTTCGAAACCCACTAAGAAAAAACTAACTTATCTACGACCAACATTTGAAAAAAGGCAAAAAGCTAGGAATAGTGTTTGGATGAAATATAAGCATTGAAATAATATTTTGATGGGGCAAACTATTAGAGAGTTAAAAAGAGTGGTAATATTTGGCAGCAAATAAGAAGGGTCGAAGAGGCTAGAGATTGTTTTTGTAGATGTGTCCATATATGAATAGAGGAATTAGAGAGTGGATCAGATAGAACAAACCTCAACAACGCGAAGTTCATTGAGAAGAGAGTCGGAGGGAGTGGTAATTGTCTGGGTAATATGAGAGCGCTGAAATTGCAAAGGAAAAAACATATTAGAAAAGCATAGAGAGATCACTGAAGTTGCAAGGGAGTAGTAGAGAGTAGGGACTGACATATTTATCAATGAGTTTCTGGAGTTGAAACTGCATTTTACCGAGCATTATGAGAACTTTGCCTGCATGAGCGCAACCAATCGAAAATAGGAAGGGAGAGAGAGAGAGAGAGAGAGAAAGTTAGGTGATAGTTGGGTATATGATATGAGTGATTTTTTGAATTGTATGAGAGAGAATTGTATAGTACTGCTTTCTTCGTCATCATGCAAGGCGGTTTTCTGAAGAAGGCAAGAGCCCAATTCTCCCAAGGACTCTGAGAATTCTGTAAGAGAAGAAAATTTGGATTGATGTTGTTATTTATCTGTCATGAAAAAGGGAAAGGGGATGAAAGGAAAAAAAAAAAAAAAAAAAAAGAGAAAAAGAATAGGAACAGGAGAGACCATAAGCACTGTTGGCGGCGGCTGCTGCCGCGGAAAGCAAGCTATCGTAGCAGTCTCTCATGTCTTGCATATCCTGCAGTGGACCAACATTTGAGTTCGAATGAGGATTTGAACCCTAAAATGAAAATTGGAAGGAAGAAAATGAAAAAAACCTGGGTAGCCTGAGCGAGGTCCTCTAACTGGGAGAAAGGAAGTTTGTTAGTGCGGTCACGGTGGTGATGCTTCTCTACCGTCAGAACTCCCAACTTTCTGAGAGACCTCTTCATCTCTATTTCTATGCAAATGAATGAATCTGAGTATCTGATGAATTATTAACCAGTGACTGTTCTGCAAATGAAGACGGTGAGACGAGGGATGAGAAATTGGGAAAGAAGAAGGCTAGTCGGTCACAGCGGCATAAAAAGTTATCGAGCTGAGTTTCCAACTCCCCATCCCATGAAGAAACTTCGCACCTTCTCTTCTTTGCACTCAGTCAGCAACCTTTTTCCCACACACTACACAAACCATTACCATCCAATAAACAAACTATTATTCTTACTATTTAATGTCTTCTCTTCTTTCTTGACTTTTTCGTTTTCTCTCCCGCGTTTCATCTCTCTCTCTCTCTCAAATATTTTTTCTTTCCCAATTTCTTTATAAACTCTAATCCTCCTCCATTTCTAAACAATCATCTTTTCGCATATCCTACATTTCAACCATTGTTTAACTTCGCAACTCATGTTCTATCTTTTTAGCTGCAACTCATACCATATTAATTATTTATAATTATATATAAGAGTATTATCGAAAAAAAAACTTATTATTTTGAAAATAAAATAAAATAAAATAAAAAATCTTTTGAGAGAAAAAGAATATTTAAATTCTCAATAGGTGAAACTTAGCAAAGATCTGGCTTCCGGTTGGTAGTTTGTTATTAGATAACAGTGTAAAAAATATAATTTTAATATAACCAAAAATTGAGAATTGAACGGAAAATCCAATAGTCTTGCCTTAATTGTTTAATGTGAATTATATTTATAATAATTTTTCATTAAAAATAAAGAAATAAGAAAAGGAAAAGTTGGTTAACTAATTTGTATATTTTAACCTTAAAAATATATTGACAAGCTAATTTATTTATTTATTTTCTGATAGGAATGTGTATTATTGGAAGCATGTAATCGATTTTCTATGGTCAATGAAAGTATAATTGGAGAAGTCACAATGTGTTGGGCGAAATGACTCCGAAATGTTTGACCGTTTACAAAACAAAACAAAATATGAATTTCAAAGCAGTTTCGAGAATAGAAGACCAGACCATTCATGAACGGGACTTGTTGAAATGAAAAATAAGCCCTCCCTTTTGGTCAACAAAACGTGTTCCATGACGTGAATCCCAAGTCATTTACTCACCCCTAATTCTTCTATTCCTCCAACTTTCCTTTCCATTTGTTGCTGCTATTTCTATGTAAAATTTTGAAAACAAATTCATTCGATTTACTATTTATCAAAGCCCACCTCTACTTTCTTCTCTTTCAAATTTTCTGATTGTTTTCGTTTAAGTGTGGTAGGTTCTTGTTTTGAGGGTTTTGTGTGAGTGATTTTTTAATAGGATTTGTAACGGATGGTTTCTTGTGTTTTCTATAATGTCTTTACATGTTTGAAGTCCACGTTGAATTTCTTTCCTTCTTTTTATTTACCTGTTTCATCTATATTTTTTTTCTACTGTACACGGGATTTAATTCAAAATAATTAGATTTTGTTTATATGACAATCTTAGTTTCACAATATAAATTATTGCATTATGTTCATGGGCCTCTTACATGTATAGAAATTTGGAATTAAAGAGCTGGTATAGTAGACAGAAAAATAGGAATTATAAGCAATAGTATAGGCATAGAAAAACTGGAATTATGCAGTTTGTATAGGCGTAGAAAAATTGAAATTAGGCGTAGATAAGACAATGTATGTATTTATTTTGAAAATCCTACAACGTCTGTAATTGGTTTGGTTTATGCCTTTTATAGGAATTGTTGCAGTCATCTTTTGAACCATTTTAAGTCACTGTTGTTGGCACACCATTTTTAGAAGTGTGTGATGTCTGGTAATAGAGACATGCTTGAAAAAGCAATATCAACCATGAGAAAGGTGAAGAATGATGTTGTTCATTGATTACTCTCCAATGATAGGCCACAATAAACCTGGGGCAAGAAACACGATACTTTTTTCAAGAATAAATAGGTGATGGCATTATTTATGAAAAGGAATGAGAATGCATCCAAACTTGATGATTTAATGTCTCTCAGAGTAAGAAATGTATTGGACCTAATATTGCAAGATGGTAGGTTTTTAAGGGTGATGTATGCCGGGGAACAACAATTTCAGGTTAAAAATAGATGTATGTTTTGGCAAATATCTAGGTACGCGCATGCATCATCTCCCATAATAGAGAGAATAAGAAGTTTTATAATGAAGCATATTCCACTCCTACGTTAAGGATTACATATGCTAAAATGATTCATCCCTCTCTTATTTATATTGACCCCATTAGGAGAGGTGGTTATAATGATAGTGGTCTACCTCCCTTGAAAAGCTTACAAGGAAGGCCTAAGAGGCTATGGAGGTTAATCAAGAAGCAATACGAAGGTCTAACACCATCAAATTCTCAACCTGTAATTAATTAGTTTGGGCATAATAGTTGAACATGTTATAAGGAACTAGTCAAGAAGGAAAAACAAATACTGAATTGTAATAAATGTGATTAATTTCTTTTTGTTGTAAAATAATAAACTTTGTTTTGCAGTGTTATAAAACCAAAGATGAGCTGCGTTACCTAACCATGAGCCAACTCTAACACAACTCGGCCTCTGCAAAATCAAGTTCTCTCTTTCTCAGCAATCAACTACAACTAATGTTACCTCAATTCAAATTTAATGAAATCCAAATTGAAGAGAATGAAGCCAAGAGTTAGAGGGAATCCTACAAGCATAGAGCCAAGCTAAAGAACAAATTAATGATCAACAGACGAACAGACTCGTTACATTTCTCGAGAGACATTTGATCATATATTTTGTTGAATTGAAATATGTTTGATTGATATGACATAGAAACTGGTATATTAAAACTATTTTTTATTTGGGACACATAAAAGATGACGTTTGTTTTGGGTATAAAAGTATTACTCGTACTTATTTTGTGAAGGGTGACTTATTTGGGGTATAGTTGAGTTGAGGAGATGTTAAGCTCAACATGGTGAACACCCATCTTAAAAGTTTGCTATTTCAGGTTCACTTAAAATAAAGTGACTTCAGTTCTACAACACATGAGCTCTCCAGATTTGAAAATTTTGGACAAACATCCCCGGGCTATCTATCAAAATTGTTACGCATGTATCCCTGAGCAATCAATAGAGTTACACATGTCCTCATGAATTATTGAAACCAAAGTTTCAAAGTAGGATTGGCCATTCAACCCATTAGTAAATGAATTCAAAGTTAAAAAGTTACACAGAGGTCGAACCGATTATAATAAAATTTTATAATTTTTATTTTTAAATATAATATACAAAATAGTATTAATAAAAAAAACACAATAAATATATAAAATGAAAAATGCACGTAAACTCATTTAAAAGTGCATTGCTCATAATATATAATAAAAATAAGTTATATATAAACAAACAAATCTAATACACCATATCTAACTCAACATACACATATTTTAGCGTCTGGTTCAACTCCTCTCCTCTATTCAAACCGATTTTAATTCCAAGTCAATTAATTTTATTTTATTTTTACTTTGCACCCCCTTTATGTTACAAGACGGTCACCTGATACCTTATGTAGTCGTCTTCACTGAAATGGCAAAGGTGAAGCACTAATAATTCTAACATCATATGATTCAACACCACCATTCCAACAATGTGAACAAATTACTCATTCAAAATTATGTGCAAAATTACTTGCATGTTTTCACAATGGGTTAGCTAAAACGCAAGGAAAAACACCAGTGAAGACAAATTATAAGACATGAATGTTTTAACAAAGGAGACAGATGTTTTTCATTCCATTAAAAGTCACGTGGGTATATGAAAAAAATAACATGACTCGCACTTTTTCTAATATGAAAATTAACACTAATTTTCCTTTAACTTCTAAGGAAATAACAATCACATCTCTCTAATTTTAAAAAATCAGTTTCATCTTTGTCATACTTTCATGTTTTTAACAGAAATCAGATGTATTTCCCAGGTGGAAATACATTCATATGTTGACCCATAAGGGAAATTGAAACAAAGTATAATGTTTACAAATGACAGGGAGAATGGATAGGCAATCTCAAAAAGATGTCCCTGCTTCTGTCTGTCAACATATACATATAGTATAGTATAAGCAGCAATATGGATCAGTCGAGTAGTATAAATATCAATATGGGTCTTCAATTCCGAAACACATATTTAGTTACAACTAGATCAAAATGAATCATATCATATCATATCATGAGAGTGTGTATGTAAATTCAGAGCTTGGAAAACACTGGCTTGCGTTTCTGCTTCTGTGCCGTCACTGCTTCAGTTAAGTCAGTGGAAAACAATCTGGCAGAATTCAAGGTTGCAACATAATCCAACCCCTGGTCCACAGTTAAGTCCCTACTTTTAAGCAGAACCATTTTTGTCCCAACCACCGCAAGGGGGGACTTGGTGGCAATTGCTGTCAAGCGTTCAAATTCAAATAATTAAATCAGAAAGAGCATGAAGATCGAGAGAGAGAGAATGAATAAACTCATATGCATATGCAGAAACAAATGCATATTAGAATGTGTGGTGTTGCACTTAGTTAGATAGCTAGTTAATTGAGGTTTGAAGAGGAAGAAGGGACCGTGAGCGACATCCAGGACAGCCTGATCGAGGTGATGTTTGGAGTCGCAAACGCGAGAAACGAGACCTAATTCCTTAGCCTCCTCACCCGAGAAAGTGCGACCGGTCAAAGCCAGTTCCATGGCGTTGCCAAACCTCACAATAAGAGGCAGCCTCTGGAGAGTTCCCAGATCAGCCGCCAGGGCCAAATCCACTTCTTTCACTGAGAAAAACGCCTCCATCGTGCACATTCTTATGTCACAAGCCGTCACGATGTCAATTGCACCACCGATGCACGCTCCGTGGATACTCGCAATCACCGGCTTACGGCACCGTTCCAGGGCCGTCACCGCATCTTGCATCGCCATGATCTGTCGGCGAAGGGACTCGCCGGAACCGGAATTGGCTGCTGTTGATCCCAAAATGGAGAGGTCGATGCCGGAGCAGAAGTGGTTGCCAGCGGCGGACAAGACAATGACCTTGACGTCGGGGTTGTGATCGAGGGCATAGAGGGCCTTGGGGAAGTGTGTAAAGAAATCATGGGAGAGAGCGTTGCGTCGCGATGGACGATTCAAGATAACATAGAAAACACCCGATTTTGGGGTCTTCTCCAGAATTTCCAGGCCTGGGTATTTGTATTTCTCTTCCATTATTTCTCTTCTAACCCTATCTCTACGCTCATATCATCTAATAAACCCTTCACCACGTGAATTTGAGTTGGAGATTTTAGATTTTCTTATATTTATTTTCCCTTCTTACATTGGTTGAGCTACTATAGGAGGTTTTCATTGTGAAAGAAGAAATTATGTTGACGACGTTGAGATTGAGCCAACAAAGACAAATTTTGTTGGAGTCTTACAAAATAAATAAATTAATACTATCAAATTTTGTTGCCCTCTATAAAAAGTATTTAATCATTTCAATTTTATTTAATTTTAATTTTTAGTCTCTATAAGCTTTGGTAAATAATTTTTTCCCTCAAATTTAAAAAAATATTTTAATCTCTAAAATGTAGTAAACATAATTTTTATCTCCAATCACTAAATTCGAAGGACTTAAGAGTAGTTTTTAAGAAATTCATTTCCATCCCTCAAATTTAATAAAGTAAAATTATATTTATTTTAAATTTTAAGGGACTAAAGTAATTTACACAATGGGACAAAGGATGAAGTTTTTCTGCCTTACAGCATTTGATTCTCACCAATTAGACTTTGGTTGATATTGACGATGATAATGATGTGAATTCTCTCACTTCTGTTCTTTTTTTAATTGAGGAGTGATATATGCAAATCTAATTTCTTCCAAATATCTATATTACAATTTAATAATAATATAATAATAATATATAAAAATGATTATTATTATTATAATATGCGGAAAGAAAGATGTCAAAATAATATTTTTATTTTTAAATTCCACCTATGTGCGTCTGCCCCAACGAATATATCGCATACCAGAATAATTACAAATTTTTTAATAATACCACTTTTCTAATATAATCTATTCAAAATAACTTTAGATAATTATATTTATATATCTTTATTCAAATAATTTATCTCCAATTTTCAAGTGCGAAGTTTGTGCTTCTGTGAGAGTTTCGGCTGTCACAAGTATTTTGATCAAAATATCCCCTATAAAAAAGTTGAGCTTCCAAGAGGTTGTGCTTTCTTAGGACGACTTGTTTTTTCAATTAATTTGGTTGTGAAAAACTCAACCAAGTTCATCCATGCTTCTTAGTTTCATGCAGACAGGTGAGATGAGGAGGAAGACATGAAAAGGAATGTTGGATTCTCGTATTTTAGCTAAAAAAGAGTAAATGAGTTGGAAGAAGCATTTCGTCCTTGCAGCATTATCAAAAAGAGAGGGTCTTCATAACCTTGACCTCCTAGTTGTAAGCAAATAATGTACACTCTCCAAGTCCTACTCCAATATGTTCGTGTGCACGAGGTAAATGAAAGATACATAAAAGAAAACCAAGTGCCATAGAAGGGGTGGTCGCAGTTTAGCTTACAGAAGAGGGTGATGGGAATTGTACCATTGAGAGAGACTAGGCGTTAGAACCATCAAAACTGCCCTGCGCACTTTGTCGTCTTTTCTCTCTCCAATTCTCTCCCCACATCTTGGCTTCAGCCACCGCACGTTCTCTATCAAGATCCCTGTTGTTTAACATCCTTGCAGTTTCACGTGGGGACTCATCTTTCTCACATCCTTCCAAATCCCATCTCCGTCCAGATCCTTCACCTTGGTCATTTTTCAATATTCTTCCACCTTGATCATCTCTGTTCCTTTTATCATCACCACCTCCCCTATGGTCATATGCCTGGTTGGCTAGAAAAGAAAGGGCTGTCACCACATCCCCAATGAGAGGACGCGCCGCCGCCTGTTCTTGAATGCACATTGATGCCACAGCTAGAGCTTGGTAAAGACCCCGCATGGGATACCGTCCCTGCAGCTCCGGATCTGCTAACTTTGGAAACTTCCTGCGGTCATTGAACAATGGACGTGCCTGTTCCAACATGTATATAAAATCACCATTACCATTACCATTACCACCCTAATGTTGTTAAGTATGCATAAGTTAATGTAATGCAAACCAAACTAATAAGGACAAGCAAAGATTGGAGGGCTACCCATGTGACGAGGTTTTGTTCTCCATGGGGTCGGGTGCTGTCAATAGCTTTACGGCCAGTAATCAGCTCCAAGAAGACTACCCCAAAACTATATACATCAGACTTCACAGTCAGCTGTCCAGTCATAGCATATTCTGGGGCACAGTAACCATAAGTTCCCATGACACGGGTGGAAACGTGTGATTTGTCACCAACGGGACCGAGCTTTGCAAGACCAAAGTCTGAAAGCTTTGGGTGATAATCTTCATCAAGTAATATATTAGACGATTTGAAATCTCTATAAATGACAGGAGGATTTGCTTTGTCGTGAAGGTACTCCAATCCTTTTGCTGCCCCCGCAGCTATTTTCATCCTGGTGTTCCAATCCAATGGTTCCTTATCCCGGGGAAGATCTGCACTCAAGTCCATATATAAAAATTAAATAGTATTTATATCAACAAAACTATATTATGCTTAACAAAACAGTAACGTAAAGGACACAGCATTTATTCTCCACTCTAACCAAAGTTCGGAGATGTTAATCAATCATCAGAAGACAGATAAGATGATAACAAGGCAAAGTGGAAACATTTCCAGCAGACAATAGAATGTTTATCACTTCATCATATGTATCACATTCCTTTTCCATAGCTTCTATAACATGGAAAGCTAGTCCAACCCTAAGTTGATTAGACTTTATTGCGAAAAGCTTTAGATTTGACCAGACACTACATTTTATATATGCTTCATCAGTGGGAGAACTTTATTCTTTTATCTATGACTCTCTTGAAGGGGTCAAAGCAGCACCCTGAATGGGTCGAAGATGATTAACTCCATCATCCTTGTTAAATTTATGGTGTGGAAGTTTCTTTAGTCATTCGAAACAAAGTCTGCCATTCTATAATATCTCTTGCAATTTGAGACCATAATGAATATTAAACAGTTGCCTCTCCTTCATATTATTTTCATTCAACCTAGAAATCCACTTAATCCTTAGGTTTCAATCCTCAATTGTCAGTGCGTTGTTACACCCACTCTATGTTAAAGGAAGGCAAAACCAGAAAAGAATGGACACAGCAGCTAATAAATAGGGAGAAGCTAATAGGTTCTGTTATTTTGATACACTTAAACAAGGTTATCTAGTTGAGATTCCGCTCATGAATTGCCGAGTTAATATTTGAATAATGAATCATAATTTGTATCAAATCATAATATTTAGAGACAACAAAAAAATATTCCATATATATCATCTCATTTAGATGATATATAGTGTTATGTAATTTTTTTAACTAGAAATAGATAAGACAACTTAAAGCAGAAATCTCAAAAAAAAATAAAGTTATTAATTATATATTTGAGTTTGTCAAGTTTTTATTTTACAAGAGTGATAACTAATTAGAGTACATGCATTGAATGAATGAGTGACTTAAATAATATCTTTTAGTATTTCCTTATTCTAGATAGGATTATTTTCGTATCTGATTTCCATGTTTTGGACAGGATTTAGTTCCCTGTTTTAGGTTGCCTCTTCTATGAAGAAAGAGGAATCATAACTGAACAATATGGGAATTTGAAATATTGGAGATTTGTTGGTCTCTCAAAGCCCCAGCAGCATGGCAGAATCCCTGTGGGTTCTACCAATTGGTATGATAGTGATGTCGACACTGCAATGTTCGCCTTACCCTAGTGCAGATTGGTACCAATTCTTCATGGCTTGGTGGGATGTTAAGATCCAATTGCAAGGTCTGAGACTCGAGTCCCACAATAGAAGCATGAGATTTTTAATGTGGGATTCATAAGGCTTTGGACTATCCAACTACCACAAATAGCTTTTGTGGTATGATTCTGCCAAGGTTCTTATCAGGGGTCTCAAATTTTATTCACATCCGGCGACCAACTCTAGTAAAACTAATTGGAAAATAAGAAGACTAAAACAACTACACAGTATCTTCGCTGCAGAAATTCCTTATAAGGGCTTCCAGGCCAAACTTGACTCTGAATAAAAAGTAGTATTAATCGGGGCAGTCACAGACCCTGCCTAAATCGGAATTTATATCTCATTTTTCTAGAAGAAATTTTCTTATCTCATAATTTAACAAGTTTAACTCCGTCTAACGTAGTATGAAAATTCCTTTTGCGTCGTAGAACCAGGTAGACTGGCCACCTTTTGTGGGATCTCCCCTTCCAACCTCGTTTTTTGCATCCACAAAACTCGAACTTGATACATTGTTTAAGGGGACTGAGCCAGTACCACTCGGACCAACAATGTGTTGGTCAAAGGTTTTATTTAATTTCAATTTTGTTTTTATTTTCACGTAATTGTGGAAGAAGAATTAGGCTCTCTTGATCTTTTTCAGACTGAGCTCACATTTATTATTTAGTTTTCTCTATCAAAAAGCCTGGCTCCAAAAGCACAAGAAAGAAAGCAAATTTTAATTCTATACAGAATTCTTACTTCACTTGAGATACAACCTGATGGAAAAAAATCGAGGGACAGAGAGAGCAACAAAATATTAAACAACAAAAGCTACAAGTTAATATAAAGGCTTAAAAATATATTTCAATTTTATCCTACAGCAGCCACTTAAATTGTTGCTGCACTTGCTCTGCTAATAAGCACAGATTTATTGAGCAAGCTGCTTGCTCAAATCAAAATCATACCATCCAGTTGTCCAGAAATTGTTATCTTGCTTGTGGCAGAAGAAACGTTCACAACAGTGAAATGGAAAAATCAAGAATTTTAGAACCATATACTTTATAGAGGCAAAACACGGAAAATAATGACCAAAGAGTACATTTTATGATAATCATAGCTGCATGGATGTTCCTGCGAAAGGGCAAAACCCTACAGACAATTCTTTATCACCGTAGTAAACTCAAGACAAAAAAAATGCAGAGTAGTTTAAATCACCGAAAGGGAATTTTCTTTATAAATATATATGGAAGAAAATCAAACAACATACACTATAGAGAACAAATGCACAAGAACTTATCGAAGGTTACCGTGCCAAGAGAAATGAGATTCTAAGGTAGAAAGTCAAGCGTGTCCTAAAATACACTGAACACTACAGGGTTTGATTTCAGTACAGTTTTTTGCTTTGAAGCATTTAATTAAACTTTTCTGCAACGCAAAATATATAGTGGTAATATGAAGTAAAGCATAATTTCATTATATATGTTAGATTATGTAACTTGTGTCTTTAAGTCTTTGGTAAGAAATCCTAAACTATACATATAATCTTATCCTCCCATGCATTAGTACTACCGTAGCACAGATACTGATGAGACTTTCAAGGTTTTGGAATGTATTAGCCGTTCAGGATATTTCTAAAAGAGAATACTAATTACGAAATACTGAACTAGAACTAAAAAAGAAATTGTAATGATGGAATTGGGAGTAGTAGAAAAGAAGAATACCATGAAGGTGGTCTTCCAATGATCCCAACGGCATAAATTCATAAACTAAGAGGCGTTGGTCCCCATCCGCACAGTAACCAATGAGATTGACAAGATTAGGGTGATGTAGAAGACTGAGCATGAGAACCTCGACGAGGAATTCTCGGTTACCCTGAAGACCGTTTCTGTCTAACTGTTTAACAGCCACAGCCTGTAGAAGTAAAGGATGAAATGTGAGGACTGGGTGAGCAGTGAAGTCACTTCAATACTGAATATAAGGAGGTGCATAAAGAACGAACAGAAAGAAAGAATTACCTGGCCCGTGGTTTCAAGGCGGCCCTTGTAGACCCTTCCGAAACCACCTTCCCCCAGAAAGGATTGGGGCCTGAAGTTTTTGGTTGCGGCTGCCAGCTCACGGAATGTGAAAGTTTGTGCGGCAATTTGTACAGCAGGCCCGTCCTTGAGAGCAGCCAATTCCCTTTTGGAGTCACCATTATTACCATTGCCATTGCTATTACCATTACCATTACTTGATGACCGTAGCTTGTCTGCTCCTGCTATCCAATGCAAATTAAGCAAAACTGTATTAAGCTGAAAGAGCTGTGTCTGTGTCTGTGTCTGTGTCTGTAAGTGAGATGATGGTGAACACTTGAATTCAATTACAAATTAGGATATATAGAAAAGGAGCAGTGGTGTGATGAGACGAGGCGACGAAGATAGCATAAATTATTACGGGATCTGATTTCACTCTCATTTCAATCTCATTCATCAGATCAGATCAAGCAGAGTTGGATTAGACCTCAATATAAATAATTAAATACTAATAATAGTAATAATAATAATAATAATATGTAAAAAAAAAAGAAAAAAAAAAGAACTAACCGGAGGCAGAGGGAAGTCTGGAAATACGAGGGGGGATTGGGGGCTTAAGATCATGATCGTGATGATGATGGTTTTCCTGGTGAGGATTGGGATTGAGCTTCTCGTCTTCCCTGGAATCGAAACACGAAAAACAACCCATTCGAAATTCCTCCTCAATCACACGCAGACGAAATCAATGAATGAATGGATGAATCTATCAATCAATTAAGGCGTCATCCTCCAATCCAGTCCTAAACAAAATCTAAAAAGATTGTATGGTCGGAAGGAAGAAAGAATAAATTTGCGTAACAAAGTGGTTTGGTAGGATGGCATAAAAATAAGGAAAAGAAGAAGAGAGTTTGGTTGTTTGGTTATGCGCGTACAAGTTAAGTTAGTGGTTCCACTTTCACACTTTGTCTTAAGACCTGCCACTCCGCCACTGGCAGAAGAAACAGCCAGGGGCTTTCCTTTCGGTTTAATTGGTTTCAACTAGATAGATCCCCATCTACATTACCATCCTATAATATTAAATACTTTAATATTTTAAATAAGCCATTTTTAATCCCTCTCACTAATACATTTTATCGTATCAATTATGTAGTCTTGATTGACTAATCTTGGGATAACATATATCTAAATTTGAGATAAAAAAAAACTAATTATGTGTCATAAATTTAATATATATATTAAGAATTAAAGTATTTTAAATTTAGAATAAAATAATAAATGGTAAGTTATGCAATGAAATGAAGAGTGATTGAGAGGGAATAGAATAGAATAAAGAATACAATATAGATTGGGCAGAAGAGAAGAAAAGAGAAGAGAAGCAGAAAGAACGGAATGCCATGTTTGGGTCTGCGGTCAACACAGGGTGAGGGAGGCAGCTCCACCAAAATAGCTACAAAGTAAAATAGAATATAGAATATAGAATTACGTCAAGTCAAGGTTTAGGAGATGAAATCAACAACCTAGCTAACCCACCACGCACCAGCAACAGGGGATAGATAGGAATAGGACGCAGTGAAATGAAGAAAACAATAAAAAGAGAAGAATATGACCTCCAATGTGGTGTTTTTCCGCCCAACAAACGCATGAATTAACCATTAATGTGCAGAGGCGATGGAGATGTCACCAGAAAACAATGATGTGGACGTGGATGTTGGGAGAAGGGAAGATACAAAGGAGGAGGTGGAACTGTTGGAGCGTATGGTGGATAGGTACTTCAGCGGGAAGGTTGGGGAGGATGATGAGGGAGAAGAAGAGGACAAGTCCTTATTGCTCTTCCTAGATGCGGTTGATCGCATCTCCAAACTCTCCACCTCAACTGTTATTTCCTCCGACGAGTTTGACCAAATTAATCTCGTTCTTGAAAAAGCAATGTTCCTGTTAGAGAAACGTCTTTCTTCTCTTCTAGATCAGGAACCCAAATCCAAACCATCCAACAAATCCTTCTCCTTTCGTTCTCGTTCTCGTTCTCACCTCTCTTCCATTTACGAGACCCAATCCCCTAGGCCAACCCAACAGTATCAACAAACCCAAGACCCTTTTAATTACTCTCCACAAAGGATTTCCACTTTGAACAAGATCTCCACTGCCATGATCGCCGCCGGCTACCACATCGAGTGCTGCATGGCTTTTGCCTATTTCAGGCGGAGTGCTTTCAAAAATACACTCCAGACATTTGGATACGGGAACACCAAAATGGAAGATCTGTATAAAATGCCATGGGAATCGCTTGAAGGCGAAATTACATCGTGGAATCAAGTGGTTTGGCATTGCACCACCGTGCTTTTCAGCGCTGAACGAAGCCTTTATGAATCCATCTTCCCCAATCAACCCTCTATAGTTCAAAACTTGTTCTCCGATCTTGCACGACATGTCATCATCCATTTGCTCGATTTTGCACAAGGTGCTGTTCTAACGAAATGGACCACGGAGAAACTATTCAAATTCCTTGATATGTACGAGACCCTGAGGGAAGACGTTGTCCAGGGTTCCTATCTGGAGTCGTGCGAAAAGGAGCTGGCGTATGAGATAAACACGGCAAAAGAGAGGATAGTAGAGGCTATCGTGGCCATGTTTGGTGATTTGAAGAACTCCATCGAGAACGACAACGAAAGGATTCCTGTTCCGAACGGTGCAGTGCACCCATTGACTCGTTATGTCATGAACTATCTAAAATATGCATGCGAGTACAAGAAAACGTTGGAGCACGTGTTTGAGCAAGGAGAAGGTGAAATGAGGAATGGGAATGAGAAATGTATGGAGGTGGATGAAGCGGAAGATGTAGAGACGCCGAAGAATTCGGGGTTTGCAGTTGAATTGATGAGCATAATGGAGCTTTTGGATGCAAATGTGGAAAGGAAATCAAAGTTGTACAAGGATAATGCTTTGAGGTATTTTTTTCTGATGAACAACGGGAGATACATAGTGCAGAAGGTGAAAGGGTGTAGGGAGCTTAATGAGTTGATGGGTAACAATTGGTGCAGGAGGAGGCAATCGAGTCTGAGACATTACCACAAGAATTATCAGAGGGAAACGTGGAGTAAGGTGTTGGATTGCCTCAAACCAGAGGGGCTTCAGGGGAGTAGGAACAAGGTGTCCAAACAGCTTGTGAAAGAAAGGTTCAAATGCTTCAATGGGATGTTTGAAGAGATACACAAGTGCCAGAGCAGTTGGATGGTAAGCGACAACCAACTCCAGTCCGAACTCAGGGTTTCCATCTCCGCCTTGGTCATCCCTGCTTACCGCTCTTTCCTTGGAAGATTTAAACAGCATCTTGAATCAACCAGACATATTGACAAGTACATTAAATACCATCCCGAAGACATCGAGGTTTTGATCGATGATTTGTTTGCTGGTAATGTTGGCTCCATGTCTCGTAGGAGGACATGATCTTCTCTCCTCTCCTCTCCTACCAATTCCATGCACTTTCTTCCTTTTCATGTCTATACAGATTGTAATCTCATATAGTTACACTCAGAGCATGATTTTTTCATAAACTATTTATTCGTTTTCAGGATTCCACAACCTTGGTGTATTTGTATTGGTGATTATTTCCACTTTTCCCCATTCTTCTCCTTCAATGTTAAATCATTGTTTTCTACTGACCAATATTCATAGTGGATGGAATTCTTCAAGCTTATATTTGCTTGTAAAACATTAATAGTTAAAAGTTTGTTAAAAAAATCACTTTATATGTTTTTTTAATATTGCATTTGAAGATTAATAAACTTATTAATAACAAAATTAATATAATATATATTTCAAGATAATTATTCTAAAATTAATTAGTTTATAGTATACAATAGTTTACATGTAAATGAAAACTAGTTTATTATCCGTATGTAATTTATTATTTCAATGAAGTTTTTTAAATTATATTTCTTAATTCATAGAAATCAAGATTAATATTATATTTGATAAATTCAAATTTAGTTTTATTTGAATTAATTGAGTTGTTATATATTTGTATTATATAATTAAAATATTTTTTTAAATTATATTATTAGTTTAAAATATCTAAATGAGAATGAATCTCATAAATAATATATTTTAAAAGAAAAATTATTTTAATTTATTTATTCAAATAGATTTATCTATGGTTTGTAAGCAATTTAGGTCTTTTATTTTTCTATTTAATCATTATACTAAAATTTAATATAAATATATTAAAATAGACAATGAAATTATAAAAATATTTTAAAATTATCATGATAAGTAATTATTTATTTAATTAAAAAAATCATTTATAAATTAAATGTATTTTTTATTTAATAAGATGAGAGAAGAATATCATAAGAAAAATGAGAGAATAAAATAGAACGAGAGAAGAATAAAAGGAGAGAAGGAGAAAAAAAACTAAAGAAAACACATAAATAAATAAATAAATAAAAGATAAAAAAAAATGTATCATATCACACCATTTATTTCTCTTTGTTAAATTGTGTGTATAAAAACCTAAATAATTTTATTTGGGTAGATAAAGTTAGAGAATTTTTTAAATATATTATTTACTGATTGATTATTTTTATTAAAATGGGATTATCAATTAATATTTTCGAATAAATAATTTGATTTATCTATGGAGGAAGGCGTGGACGTTTACTGAGAGGATTAAAGTAAGAAAGAAGAGAAAAGGAATGAAGTGAGAGTGGATGATGGAGATGGAGAAGGAGAGGAAGATGGTGAGTGTGCTGCACGGAGGTATGATCATAACCATGGACGAGGAGCAGCGAGTGTTTAGGGACGGGGGAATTGTGATTGAAGGAGACAGAATCACAGCAATTGGACAATCTGCTCAAATTCTTGCTGACTATTCTCATGTCGCCCGCCACATCCTCGATCTCACCGGCCATATCTTACTCCCTGGTTCTTGCTCTCGCTCTTTCTCTGTTTGATTTTGGAATCAAATGAAATGTAAATTTAAATAATCTAAAGCAGTGGAGCGACAGGATTTATTAACAGCCACGTGCATAGTTCCCAGCAACTGGCGAGAGGCATAGCCGATGATGTGGACTTGATGACCTGGTTGCATCACCGCATATGGCCTTACGAATCCAACATGACCGAACACGATTCCTACCTCTCTACTTTGCTTTGCGGGATCGAACTCATTCACTCAGGCGTAACCTGTTTTGCTGAAGCAGGAGGTCAACATGTTTCTGGGATGGCTAGAGCGGTCTCCTTACTGGGTCTGCGAGCTTGTTTAACCCAGTCCACCATGGACTCTGGTCACGGTTTGCCGCCATCCTGGGCCACTCGAACCACGGATCATTGCATTCAGGTCTCTCTCTCTTTCTCTCCCCTTTACCCCTAACCAATCCATTTCATTTCACCAATTTCTTTGCTCTTGCTTTCTTCTGCTGTGCAGTCTCAAAAGGACAATTATGACAAGTACCACAACACAGCCCAAGGCCGCATCAGAATCTGGTTCGGAATTAGGCAAATCATGAACTCCACTCCTAGCTTGCTTATCCAAACAAGAGATGCTGCTACACAACTCAAAACTGGAATACACATGGTACAACCCTTTCTTCTCTTTTCTGCCATACCTTTTGCAGAAAAACAAGAACAACATAAGCAAAACTTCATTCTCTAACTTCAGATCGAGTTGGGACTGTTTTCCTCAACAATACTAGTTGGACTATTCAAAATGGCCTATATAATAACTGGAGGAGTTCTAAATTATTACCATTTATTTATTATTCATACTCAACAAATAGCAAATCGTGTATTAAACTAGCCTGTGCAATACATATCCACCTATGTCTTCACCTGACCTTGATTTGAATTTGCAAAACTGTTAGCATGTTGCAGAGATACCGTATGAGAACCAACTAGTAAGGGATGTTCACAAAGTTGATCACGGAACTGTGACATACTTGGACAAGATAGATTTCCTTCAAAGCAATCTGCTAGCAGCTCACTCAGTTTGGATTGACAACAACGAGGTAAACTTTTTCCTCTTTAAACATGATTGTGCCCTTTCAACAAAACCTAATTCAGTTCTCCAATTTCTATTATTGTCTTACTCATGGTGAGTTCAATATTGGGTAATGCTGATATGCAAGTAAAACCTATGGCTATGTTCTTGCTTAATCCTTCTTGATATGCACCTCAACTAACTATCTACTTTCTTATTTGACACCTTCTAAGTCCCAATCTCATCTGGCTGGGTTCAGATTCGCATATTTTGGGTTTCTGAGAATATCTTCCCTCCTGGTAGTTGAGAGACTGTTATGTCATGCCATTATAAGTTGAGACTCCTGTCGATAATTTTTTCCCATATACATGGATTTTGGATCGAAACTATAACCCCCTTTCTACTTGGATCGACATATTCTATCTTCTGACTCTTTCCCTTTATTAGGATTTTATTGAGTTATTTTTAATTGGAAAGACAAAAGAGACAGAAAGCAGAAACATGTGATTTGAGTTCATACTTAGGAGTCTGGAATTGAACTAACCTTTCCTCCGCTATGTTCAAAAAGTTTGTTGGAATGGTAAGCAATCCTCGAGTTAATGTGTTGAACAGTAATTATTGCTTCATAACAATTTTTCAGATATCTCTTCTTTCAAGATCAGGGGTCAAAGTGTCTCACTGTCCTGCTTCTGCAATGCGAATGCTTGGATTTGCACCTGTAAGGGAGATGCTTAATTCTGGCGTTATTGTCTCCCTGGGAACTGATGGGGCCCCATCAAACAATCGCATGAGCATCGGTTCATCTTAACTCTAAACTTTTAAATTCTTTTTACCTTGTTTTTATAATTTCACTAGATTCATCAATTCCCCCATTATTATTTACTGTTTAGTTGGCCCATGTATGCAAATTTGGTTTGTTATGTAAAGATTATTTATTTTCTTATATGAAGAACTTTTATTATCAATTAGTATTAAATAGAGCAGGTAAGCAACCTAGCCGCCCAAGGTAGGATAGGTTCATGTAAGATTATGTACATCAAACCCTCACCAGAATGTGAAGTTGTGGGAGTCTCTTGCCCACATGGAAAATGTACACTTTTTACTTGGTGCAATTTTTTATTAATAATTATATCTGCAGTTGACGAAATGTACCTAGCTTCTCTAATTAACAAAGGACGGGAAGTTTATACTAATGGAACTACAGATCCAACTGCATTGCCTGCTGAAACTATTCTTAGAATGGTTACAGTTAATGGGGCAAAGTCCGTATTGTGGGATGATGAACTAGGTTCTCTTGAGGTTGGGAAAAAGGTTGGTATTGGTTCACATTATTGTAAATTGTGAATGTTATGATTTTCTTTTCCCCTGTTAACCTTTTTTTTTTTTTTAAATCTTCCCCATTATCTGGGACTAACTACGGGAGTACTCTTTGTTGGACACAGCTTATACTGAAGACATTTGAATTCAAAGTAGAGAATGTGGTGTGGGGATAATTCATCGTATTTGATCCTTGTTATATTTGAATGTGCATAAAGCGCTATTGAAACATGGAATTTTTTTATATCTGTTGATAATTACGACATTTTGTGAACTAGTGAACAATGAAAATAAATAAGAAATTTTAGAAACATCATATGGACCTAAGGTAGAAAATTAAACAAAAACAATGTAAGGAAAGAAAAGTTAAAAATTTTGCGTAGAACCTATTGCCTTCAATTTGCTGGCTTCCCTGGTCAATACTTCTGCTATATATTTCTAACTTTGTTTAGTAAACCAAATCTTTTGTTGATGACAGCCTAGATTATTTGCTAGGGAATAATACCTGGAGACCCCAAACGTTAATACATTCCTCATGTTGATATTTCTTTGCATGCGACTGAAGCTGACAGTGTTTTGTGCTTGTCATTTAATAGGCGGACATTGTTGTAGTCAATCCTTCCTCTTGGCCTATGGTTCCTGTTCATGACTGGTACGAACCCATGGCTTAATTTGTACTTATGTTAATTATACAGATCATTTTAATGAATTCTTTTTGAATTAGATGACCAGTGTGTTTGGATTAATTTTATGGTTAGAAACGAGCATTGTTTTATTTATGAAGGTAAAGTAATAACTAGTTCTACTTTTCATGGTTTCATGGCAATTTTGTGGGAAAGAATTTATTCTCGTCTGTTACCCTCACACCCTAGATTATGATCTTGTGCGCTTGTGAAATTATGTTATGATTATGTTTTACCATGCATTACATAAAACAATTATGAGGCTATGCAGCGAAATTTCATTTCAATTGCAATCTTGGCTGGCTGCATTCAGCTCTCTTTAACATCAGGCCATCCAAAAACCTTTTCGAGTTAATACATTAACTGTCTACACAATATGCAGCATTTCCAGCATAGTGTATTGCATGCGATCAGAAAATGTGGTTTCTGTCATGTGCAATGGCTCATGGATAATGAAGAACAAGAAGATTATACATGTGGACGAGGTATTTCATTGAATCATTTTTCTTATGTAGGATGTGAACAAATTCTGTATGAGATTAAGAATCCAGTCCACAATTAGCTTGATCAAGTAACACTTTGTTTGAATAAGAAAATAGGAATAAGAAGAAAGAAAATAGAATGAATTAAACATAAGAAAATAAATAGAGTAGAATAAGTGTGTTGTTTGACTGATTAAAAATAAATGAAAAAAAAAACTATTTATTTGGGTGACTGAAAAATAGATAAATATAAAAAAAAATTACATATTATTTAAAAACCAAATTTAATTTAAAAGACTATTATTTTTTAACGTATAATTGCTTTTGCTTATTTTGTGATAAAGAATTATTTAATTAAAAAAAAAAAAAAAACTAAAACATAAGAAATGCTTCCTCTATCTCTTACTTGCATGCCTTGAGAGGAGTATTTTTCTTATTCGTTCCTTATCCTCTACTTCCTTCTTTTGAACTTGACACACGCGCCCACGCACATAATTTCAATTGATAAATATAAAAAGAAAAAAAAAAATCTTATAAAACTCTTGTGTTTTCATTAATCGTGTCTAGAGAGGTTTAATTTGTGTTGTCCATGACGACAGGAAGAAGTTATTTTGAAGGCAAAAGAGGCTTCTGTTGAACTTCTGAAGAGGGCAGGCATAACATTACCAACCAGAATGAACATCATTTGATTGTTGTTTCTCAAGTATATATTATCTATGATAAGCGCTTGATGTAATACAGGAAATGATGTATAGACTATAGAGCGAGTACAGTATGAGTGGGAGAGATGCTTGAACTGTTTGGTGATGATATTGCTGAGTGAGCACATGACGCTGCACAGTGCATGCACCCACGGCTCACTCTGTAAACAGGCCCTGATACTCGAGGTCAAGGGAATGTTTGGTTCTTCGGATATTGTTTAGTTCTTCAGGGAAAACAAGGTTCAAAATATTTCTAGAAAACAATGATCTAAATATTTGTAGATAAATATAATAATACTAACTCTTTCAGAGGTACGAGAATAGTTAAGTTTGACCAACTTTTACAACTGTATAAGAATAATTACTTACTCTTGGTAATTTAGTGCATAAAAAAACTAAAGAAGAAGTACTTGAGCACTGAAAAAAAAGAAGACACTAAAAATGGGAGGAAACTTTTCTGTCATGCGTGTCACGATTGGAGTTCATGTTTCCAGGAATTTCTTGGAGTCTTGGAACAAGATATATTTCTTTTATAAATTTAGAAAACAAGTAAAAAAATGGTAAAATGTGAATATTTACCGTTATCGTGTTATAATTAAATATTTTGAGTTTTACAATAGGAGTGTGATAAATAATAAAATTATTTAAAGTTTCTCAATATATGGTATATTTTAAATATATGTAATTATCATTACAACTCAATCGATAAAATCGTTAATTAAGGCATTTATTAATAATTAGTGTCAGTATTAGTTTGGTTGAATGGCTTAAGTATATTTATTTTACTTTTCAATTCTGTACTTCAAATATTTCTATTTTAAATGTGTATAAATATTATTTCAAAATTAAATGATATTATTATGTGGGTGGAAGGACGGGTAAGTGGGGGAGGATTTAGGGTGAGGAGGGGCTGGGTTAGTTGGAGGGATAGGATAGTAATTTGAGTGGTGGCAGAGTTGAGTTTGAGAATTGAGTTGGGATAACATGTATATATCTTGTCAAGAGTAGCAGAGGCAGTGGCGGTTTGTGTGTCTGTGTGTGTGGTGGTGGAGTGAGGACTCAATCCATGGCAGCGGCATTTACATCTGCAACCACATTCAGACTGGTAATTACTACTCATGCCTTTAGTTCAAATCAACATTATTATTTATCATCATCATTTATAATTGATTATCTGATTAATTTGTGTTTGTGTTGCAGTCAAACGTTGGAGAAATCAAAGGTTTGAACCTCCGTAACCCTAATCCTAATTACCTGAAGCTTAGGACGCGGGGGTTTGGGTTTGGCGGTTGTGGTGGAGTGGCAGTGAGTGTGAGAGAAGGGAAAGTTGGAAGGAGTTTGACGGTTCGGGCGACTTCTTCTTCTTCGGGGGAGGATGCAAATGTTCAGGCGAAAGTGACTCAGAAAGTGTTCCTTGACATCGGTATTGGAAATCCAGTTGGGAAGCTTGTGGGACGGATTGTGATTGGACTGTACGGCGACGATGTTCCCCAAACAGCTGAGAACTTCCGCGCCCTCTGCACTGGAGAGAAGGGCTTCGGCTATAAGGGCTCTACCTTCCATCGTGTCATCAAGGATTTCATGATTCAAGGAGGCGATTTTGACAAAGGAAATGTATATCTATCTATCTATCTTCTCTTTCCCTCTTTTCCATTCTAATTATTTTCTAACCATCATATTTTTTTCAGGGAACTGGAGGCAAAAGTATATATGGTCGCACTTTCAAAGATGAAAATTTTAATTGTGAGCCCCTCTCTCCCTTGCATCCTCCCACATTACATTCCTTAACAACGCAGATATGTATGACAAATTATAGTATGAAAAGGATATTATGGATATAATCGGATGCAAATTATAAGGTAAATTTTGTATGATTTAGTTAGATTGAATCTTGTTTTGTAAGAATTTCACCATCCTTCTTTCAATTCTAAATACCAAACAATTTCATCTACCTTTCTCTTTCCAACATTTTCTTAATCTTATTATTAAACAAATGCCACTGGATCTTCTCATTTTAGCCTCCACCATCTCTCTAAATATTATTAATATTGTAAATATATATATTAATAATACTCATATCTACAATATCTCCAGTGTCTCATACTGGACCCGGAGTTGTTAGCATGGCAAATGCAGGTCCCAACACGAATGGGAGTCAGTTTTTCATATGCACTGTCAAGGTATATTCCTCTTCTTCTATATTTTCAATGATCCATGTTCTTCTATATAGAGCAAAAATGTTGTCTTTCAATGAACAACTATGCTATATTTCTAACTCGAATCGAAGACTGTTTTAACCTTAAAGATTCCTGGCTTTACAAAACAAACGCGGTTGTTGTTGTGCAACTGGTGTCAACTGCTAACATTATTGGCAACTGTTATGTATGCATTTCAAATGAACCTTATCTTCATCGTGATTAAGATTTACTAATCTTTGCATAAAATCATTGATTTCATCTGTGAAAACCTCAAATATAGAAATACAGTTTTAGATATATTTATAATCAATGTCGTCAAGGTTATGATTCTACTTAGGATCAAGAAGGGGATTAAAGATCACAAAATGTAGGATAGTAGGATCCTTCCAAAATGTAAAATTATGCATTTATACTATATTTTTGTAGGTATATACATAGAAAATACGAAAAAAAAAAAAAGTATAAATGTAACATTAAAGCAGACTTAAAACTGCAATTTCATAACCTTAAATCCGTAACGTACGAAATAAGTCATAACTGGTCGCATACATGTTACATAAGGTTTGCTGGGAAATCATCCTCCAACACATTCCCAGCTGCATCTTCATTAATCTCACCAATTTCTCAAGCATTTTAACACCAAGTTCGTATATAGGTGCAGCTGATGCAGTAAAAGCATTACTAGCATTCACAGTTGAAGTAGGAAGAGGGTTGAGACTTGAGAGCCCTAGAGATCTGAGTGGAAGATAGACAATACTCACAGTCACAGCAAGTCTGGATGCGCAGCAACAATAAAGTCAGAAATCGGAACCAAGAGATTGAGAGAGATTGGAGGGAGTGGCGGAGAGAGAAAATGGGGGTGGGCTGTGTGAGGTTCTTAGGTTTGAGAATGAGAGAGAACTCACTGATTCAGGGCTAAAAGAAAGGCTAAAATGCATTTAGGGCAAACCGGATTGCACCGTCCTTGAAATCCCAGCTGGCTAGATCAGAAAGAAGTGTGATCTCCCAATCTTGCTCCAATCCTACAACGGTCCCACTGACTAGGATTCTATTAATGATCCAGCTCGGGGGCAGATTTGTAAGATCGTGCAATTGAGTGATTGATCCACAATTTCATCTAGTGATCTTGACACAGTGATTATAAATTCTTCTTAAAGAAAGCATATGATTTCAACAACCTAACATTTGATTAATACTTATGATGAAATGATAAAAAGCTCTTGATATCTACTTATGTCGTATGCTGTGTTCCTTGATTTTAATATAATCAACTTTTTTGATGAATTGGCAGACACCATGGTTGGATCAGAGGCATGTTGTATTTGGCCAAGTTTTGGAAGGCATGGACATTGTTAGGTTGATCGAATCTCAGGAGACAGATAGGGGTGACCGTCCTAGAAAAAAGGTGACCATCAGCGACTGTGGTGAGCTTCCAATTGCTTGAGGTGGTTCTTGTGTATTTAGTTGAGATTCAGAAGAAACTCCTGCTTTATGAAAATTTTTGTTCGACTAGTCTTAAGAGAACTTCAGTAACCTTTTATTTTCAAACTGAACCTTCAATCTTTAGCAGTCACCTGTGTTCTGGTAGAATTATAGTTTGAGTTGTTGTCAGATTGGAAAATTTAATACCCCATTTGACTGGTATCTCCTTAAAATACAAAGTGCTTTTTCCATGAGGAATTGGATGTCACGAGAAATTTTGGAGTGTTCTACAGCATGCATGATCCAATTTAATATCATTGCTAGTGAGTTGTGGTAGACTTTTTCTGGGCAATTCTTGTGTTATCTTGATCGAATTTAGATTTTTTATCCGCGACCCTTGAGGAATGTATGTCAGCAGAAGTTTTTGAAGATAAGTGTTTCAGAGGATATCCTTCCTTTAAATCGTAGTAAGTAGTAAGAGAAAATAATTAGGAAGAAAAGAAATTAGAGAGGATAAAAATAAAAGATAAATAAAGTGAGAGAAAATAATTAAGGAGATAAATAAGAGATGATAAAAATAAAAGAGAAATAAAGTGAGAGAAAATAATTAAGAAGAAAAGAAATAAGAGAGGATAAAAATTAAAGAGAAATAAAGTGAGAAAGAATAATTAGGAAGAAAAGAAATAAGAGAGGATAGAAATAAAAGAGAATGAATGAAGAACGTGTGTAGAAATGAAAGAAATAATGGGAAAACCGTGTGTTTTTTAAATAAAAAAAATATAAGAGAATGAATGGAATTTTTTCTTTATCTGGATGAATGAGTGAAAAAGGGAAGGAAAAAAATAAGTAAACTTCATAAATATGTTTTTATATCAACTAAACAAGTAACTACATAAACAAGAAGAACATGTTGAATTACTAATTATAGAGGGTAAGAGTGAGGCATTATATACATGATGAGTAATGTGTTGAATTTATCCATAGGCTAAGTGTTGTTGACGGAGGATGCAATGAAAAAAAAAAAATGTAGAAATATTAATGTCTGGTGTGAAATGAGTGTTGATTGATAGCCACAAGTGGGTTAAGGAAGTAGCAGTTATAATAACAAAAGACTCTTTAACATAATGTTAGAAGATGAAAGCAGTGGCTTTTGCATATGTTTGTTGTGGTTTGTCATTGCATATATCACATCATTTTAGGGCATCCCATCGTCTTGTCGGCTAACCTTCAAAACTCTTCAATTACTGTAAATGTGTTTCCAATGGAGCCTTTTTTTATATTACACACGTTAATATTTATCATAATCTATTTTTGGAGTTATAACTTTTCTTTTCTATTTTTCTATTCCCTTTAAACAAATTATTCAATAGTCGATGAATATTATTGTCCTTTAAGATATTTATTTGAATTTACTTGATTTTTATAGTATAATTAATAAGAAATTTACAAGAGTAATTAAGAAAACACCAACTTTATAATGTTGTAAGATATTGTCATTTTCAAATGTTTAAAATCTTGTACAAAAATTCTATCACACACACTATCTTTCAAATTTTGCGGGATCAAAATTGAATTTACGCTAAAAAGACTAAACATATAAATTGTTGTGATATTAATATATTTTTTTCTTTTAATATTAGTAAAACAAATAATTTTATTAATTATTTATAATTTAACATACTTATTTGATAATTTTTATCTTCTGTTAGTAAATTACGTGAAAACAAAATTGGTGGTTATTATGAATATTAATATTTATTATTCAATTATCTTTTCAGTTTTATTTTTAACTATCTTTATCGAAAATTTTAACACGTATTTAGTGTCCCAATAAGGAAAGTAATAGTTTAAAAATCCTTTATCTTGGAAGAATGAGCATGAATGAAATCAAGAGATATATGCAAAGAAAAAAATATTAGTGGCTAGAATCACGTCAACATTTATATAAGGTGTCACGAATATGTTATAAAAGATGTTCAAAATTTCACCACATACTAACAAAACAACCTAATACTTGGTTTTTCTGCATGACATTATTTTTTTTTAAAATATGATATTTTTATAGATAAATTTTGTTTTAAAATATATAACTTTTTTAAGATTTAAATCAAGTATACTCTTAATTTTAGAATATTTTTAAAAGAATTAAAGTATTATATTACAAAGTTAGTTATTAGTTTAGATTATTTCATTTCTTTAGTTATTTAATAATAAAAATATATATGAATTAATAAATATAATCATTAAATGAAATTAAAAATGGAAATATATATAGTATTAATATAGAGTATATTACTCGAATTAATAACTTTGTTTTAATTTTAATTTTTAAATTTCTTAGATTTGTATTTTAATTAACAAAAGACAGATATATAATATTGTTCCTAATTTGTCTCTTATTAAACATAAGTTCTAAGTGAGATGTGACATATTGTTTCACAAGAAAAATTATATAAAAATATTTTTTTTGTTTTTTTGGACCATTGTGAATCTAGAGGAAAAATGTTTCGATTCTTATACGTGTAATTATTGTGCAACAAAGTTACATGATATTTCTTTTGTTAAAAATTATCTATCAACTTAAATAATCCACTTACAATAGTTGAAATCTTCAATGTATGATTTAAAAGATAAAAAAAATAACAGTCCAATATATGACATGATTCATATTACACACTATTAATAATATAAGGGCTAGGTACACGTTAAACAATTGTATCAAAAGCACTTTGTTGAATAATTTGTAATCATTTAGGAAAATCATTATAAGATTCTTCACAACCAAAAAATCATGATTAATGCTTTTTGTTTTCTGGTTCATATCTTTTTATAGGTTACTAAATAATTATATCGACATTTTATTTTGTACTTATAGTTGTATCTTTAGGTTAAAAACACATTTTTTTATTGATATTATTTTGGTTGTCTTGTTGAATATTAAATGTAATGAAAGGAGACAATTATATCATCTTTATGTTGTCTTGTTCTTTTTCATTACTAAAGTGGTATAAAACATTTTGAATTAAAGATTCATTCTTATTTTTTGTTAAACTATCATCTACCTCTCAAATTTGTTCATCTATAATGACATGTATAAACTCTTGTGTTGGCTTATCAACCCAATGCTTGTTTTCTCTACGAAGATGCCTTCCAATCTGCACACCATTAAAGGTCAAGACATTATATCACATTGGGAAACAATTTCGCGTTATTAATTTTTTCTTTTTTTTTTTAGTTTTTAATATATGTTATATTTTTTTAAATGTATATTTATTTTTTTTTACTTAATTTGTTATTACCATATTAACGTTTTTTTAACAAATTAATATATTTACAAATTATTTAATAGTAATAACGTCTAAATATTCAATAGTTATTTATTTTATTAATTTTATAAATATTAAAAATAAAATTTTTAATAATTAAAAATAATAAAATAATGAAAAAATATATATAAACTAGACAATTTTAGTATTTAAAAAATATAATTTAAAATAAAGCCGTTAACCAAAATACTATTTTAAAAAATTATTCAAAAAAACTATGAATCATGACTTTAATAAAAAAAATTATTCATATAAAAAAATCGTATATTTATATATAAATTTTTGAAAAAAAAAATCACATTTTAAAAGACGAATTTTTTTACCGTAAGGTTCTATCCAAAAATACATTTATCCATATCCAATTTTTTTTTTAAATTTACCCTTCGGAAAAAGAAAGTAAAGGAAATCTATCTCTTCTTTCTACAGATATATAGATTCGGTTGCGTATAAATTAATCATTTTCCTTGGATTCATGTAATGACCTAGGAAAATGTTATTATCGGAATGTCTTATCAATGGCGATTGAATTAAGGAGAGATGCACATCGTTTAATATATTAATGCCACTACAATTATTTAAAGCTGATTAGATTAATTAGTCTTTTTGTTCTAAATTGTAAAATTAAATTAGTTAAATAGAAAAGATAGAAATGAAATTATTATTTTTCTGTTCATGTTGTCGGTCTTCATAGTCACATGTAATGTTTAGAGACTATAATATATGGTGTGTTCGGTATAATAGAAACAAGAGAGGGGAGTAAGATGACATAATACTGGTTATTTAGTAAAATAAAATTAAAAAAGCAATCTTTGGATATTTTAAGATAGACGTGGACATGAACCCACACACATCCACGTTGTTTCTTTAATCATCGTCACAGGGTAACATTAATTTGTTGTAAGTGATTAATAATGATAAGCACGGTGTCGGTCAAATCGATTTTTTTCTGAAGCAAAAGAACCCCATTTTAGCAAACAATTAAGCAAAAATGTGCTGTCATTAATTCACTCTGACCATCATGTCGGTAAGTGGAGTGAAAAAGAAAATAAAAATGATTTAGGATCACCAAAGTGTTGAAAGTTACATTTTAAATACATGTTATTTTATAATATTATGAATTAATTTTATGTTGGAATGTTAACTGTTATTAGAATCAAAACCTAATATTTTTTCATTATTATTATGGGATAAAAGTTATTATTTTTTCGATTATTATTATGGAATAAAAGTTATTTTTTAATTTACTAGTGGAAAAATAGCTTTCTATGACGGGTTTTTATCATGGTCGTAATCCACCCGTCATAGTATGTGGCGCGGTGACAATTTTGTAATAAAATCATAAACTTTATATGTCGGGTAAGTTTTAACCGACATAGTAAGTGGAAAGGTCACTTTCTACGTCGGTTAAAATTTACCCGACATAGAAAGTTAACTTTCTATGTCGGGTAACATTTACCCGACGTAGAAAATGAACTTTCTATGTCGGGTAAATTTTAACCGACGTAGAAAGTGTCTTTGATGACAGGTGTTAGGGCAACCGACATAGTATCTTCTGTTTTGCCCGCGCTCCATTTCATTTCATCACTTCCCCCCCACTCCATTTCATTTCATCACTTCCCCCCCATAGCAGAGCTCCCCTGTACGTTTCTCCCTATGCTCCATTTCCTTTCATCAGTTCACCCATACCAGAGCTCCC